TTTTTTTTTTTTTTCTCTTCTTCTTCCATGTGCTTCATGCCTTTGACCATTATTCTCTCTTTTCTAGGAAGACGCTTTACCTAGAATTTTGAAATTTTTGAGGCTAATTTTTGCAACTTATAGAAGGGTTCAAGAACCAGGCCTTGTAACTCAATAATTCGATTCCAAACCTTAAGGTATTGTTTGGATTGGAGGTGTCGGACGGAGAGGGAGGGGAAGGGATGGGGACGGATGGCAAGGGAGGGGGAGTGAGGGGAGCTCTCTCCTTCCTCCTGTTTGGGTTTCCAAAGAGGTAGAGGGGGAGGGAGATGGACTGATTCGGACTCCCTCCAACTCCCCTCGAATCTGCAGATTTGCAATCCGTCCGATTTGGGAGGTTTGAGAGGGATTTGAGTGGCTGTTTATATTAAGTTAAATATAATTACAAAATTAACCTTAATTTTTTTATTATATCCTTCTCCATTACAAGCTTAAAGGATAAGTTTGTAAATTTAAAATTAATTTAAATCCTTCCCTTCCTTCCTTTCTTTTTACCTTAACTATCCAAACATAAAATAATACAATTCTTCCCTTCTCCTCCCCTTCCTCATTTTTATTTATCCAAACAAAATTAACACAAATCATTTCCTTCTATTTTCTTTCCTTCCCTTTCTTTTCCTCCCCCTCCATTTCCTTTTATTTTCCTCCATTCCCCTCCCTTCCCTTCCCTTTACTATTTTCTATCCAAACAAGGCGTAAGTGTTTGGGTGAGGTGGTCGGAGTTTCGAACTCCACCACCGTTGTGAACTCTATCAAAAAGCGACTTGATGGCCGCGCGCCTCATTTGAGGGGGTGGAATGTTCACCCGGTCCTCAGACCAATTACTAACAATTAACTCACGCTAACTTCTTAACCATTACTCTTATAAATATATATATATATATATATATATATAAGGGTTCAAAAAAAGGACTCCACCAATTAAGAGTTAGGAATTTAGTCTAATTTCAGTATTTATCCCCAGTAGGCCCTTACGTGTTGTGGCCTGGTGGTTGGAAATTGTAGCCTTGGAATGAGTCAGAAGAATTGCAAATATTCCAATTTTGGAATATATAACAAGTCTTTCGTTTTTGAAAGAGACTATTTAATTGAAAGTTGAAAATAACATCCAGAAACATAACACTAAAATTGTCCCTTTTTTTAGATACATAGGGCGGTGCTAAATTGATCATTTTTAATTCCTTAATACTAAGGTTTTAAAAATAGTTGGTTCCCTCTTTGGTTTCTTTGTTCAACAAAAGCACACTCCATTTTTAATCCACATCATTTGTACAATTCTTCAAATGAAAATCAATCACGAAGAGGAGGAACATTGGTCATTACCAAACTACATCTCGAAGAAAACCCCTAGCAAACAGAATATAATTCAAACAGAGACAAAGGTTTTAACATATCCAAGAGCAATCCTCACAGTGCAGCAATGACAAGAAAATAATATAATTCAAGGTTTTTGAGAATCCAATCTATTTTTATATTGTGAAGAACTGAGCAATAAACTTCTAGCCGAACTTGATTTACCAACCAAATGTTTTTATTCATAAATTAACACATAGTGAGGTAGGTCACGATCCAATTAATATCTAGTGCACAAAATTTTAAAATTTTGTGTTTATGAATAATTATGGCTATGAAAATCAGATGTGGATAGGCTTAGGCTCAATGACAAGAACAACAATTAATCTACCTATCATTGAAGCCCTACAAGAGTAACAACGACCTCTTTTTCTGGGTAATAATGTAAGTCCAGATCAAGGGCTTTTCTTCTTGCTGTCGTCTTCTTAGTGTCCTTCATACTTCATGGGTAATATTGAATGGTCAAAGTCAAGTTTTAAACATTCTTCTAACTTTCATCTTCTTAGCGTCCTTCGTACTTTATAAGTTCATAGGTAATTGATAAGCTAAATTTATATAGATGTTAATATAAAATTTTTGTTTATTTAATTTTGTATAATTTTCATTTTTTATATATGAAATGACTTAATTAGAAAAAAATCATAATTTTTAAAAGTAAATTGAAAAGATAAAAAATATGGGGATTAAGTTGTGTGGATTTCAGAAGTTAGGGACCAGAACTGTTATTTTACTATTAAGAGAAATGGCTAAGAATGCCAAAAACCCAACACGTTGTTGTGAGCATAACAGAAGGTGGCGGCACCTAGTTGAAGGTGTCGACCCATTAGGTGATTTTTAGAAATTCATGTTTACTTTATTATTTTAGGTGTGGCTCCATTTCTATTTCAATTAGAGTTTCTAAAATTCTATAAATAACCATCCAAATTCAATATAGAGAAAGCTTAAGAGGCTAGTGGTAGTCCTCTTTTGAATATTTTTGAAGATTAAGATAGAGTATCTATCAATAATAAAAAATTAAAATTTTCAATTATCTCAAATTAAATTTGTTTTTCCTTGATATTTTATATTTATAACTATAATTTTATATTTTATTATTTTTATTATAAACTAGCTTATTTTACTAAGAGACGATGTAACCAAATCAATTTAGTATACATTTTGTAATTTTTATACTTTCAATTAAAGTTATTCACATGATTAGTTTATATTATTAAATTTAATGCATTGAAAGCCTAATTACCTTTTAATTGATTTAGTGATTTATGCATGAACTTGATAAAGAAATGCATAAATTATATCAATTATATTAATAATAATATAAATCGTGTGTTAGACTATGAGATTAAGAGATACTTAGTGTCACATGTGATAGTAGAAGAAAGAAGAGAGTTAGGAGCTTCCCCTTCTTAAATTAGATGTTTTCATATAATTTAATACTCATTAGTTTATTTAAAATTATAAAGAAATATAATTAATTTAACAAACAAGTGAATGATTAACTTCACTTGAGAAAGTTAATTAATTAATTTAGAAAAATTCTCCATTACATATAATAACACTCAACAAATTAGTTTTGAAAATATATTAAATCAAAATTTATATTGATTGATTATGTAAAATCAATACATTAATACCTCATATTTTGATTGGTTTTATTTTAATTGTTATTTTTTTATTATTTTAAATTAAAATTTCTTCTTTTTTAATTGTTCAAATAAATTTAAATTAATTATTTTTATACTTAATTAATCACAATTCTCGTGAGTTCACACTTTTCTTATCATTATACTACTTGGAGTTGCATTGTTTTGAAAACCAAATAGGACCGATCGGTTGAACCAATGGGACCGATACCCTATAGTAGAAACAGGCCGAGTTGATAGTTAAAACCATTTAGGGGATTAAACCACTTAAAATCATTCAACCTATCTAAACTGATAGAAACCAATGAACCATCCAACCAACCGGGCCGACTATTGGAACAAATTTTGAGAGATTTGTTGCTACTGGGTGTTAAGCATGAGACCTCTTAGGTTTTGAGTACTTTTTTTCCACCACAGCATCGACCCTTTTGTGAAGTAAGTTAGAAAGATTATATTTTAAAGAATATTAGAAAGACTAAAGGAAAATCCTAAAGTTACTTCTATGAGATTCGAACACTTAACCTCTTAACTATCTGGAACAACTGTTGCCCCTTGATCTGAACCTAGTTTATTGACTCATAATGCTTTGAGATCTATTTATTATAATAGATTTACATAAATGAATAAATTTGACACACTTGAGATTCAAACTCAAGTTTTGTGTGAAATTAGTATAGACTCCCCGCCAATGGAGCTACTTCTAGGATTCTCAAATGTGTTGCACTATATTAGATTTAATATATATCATCAAAATCCAATCAAACCAGTTTTTTTACTCGTCAAACCAGTTCAACCACCAAAACCATGAACCAGAGGTCAAAACAGTTTAACCTCTAGTTCAATTTTGAAAACAATGATTAGTCACTCCAAGTAATATAATGATAAACTCGAAAGATTTCATATAACAAATTATAAACCAAACACCTATTACACAGGCAGTTAATAACTTTTCCCTTCCTTATACTCTTAGGCAATGGTAAATACTCATAACTTTAATTTTTGATTCTGTTTAACTTTCTTTTTACTTTTTTATTAGTGATTCTCAAGCATTGTTTTGAAACCTAACCTGACTCGATTGATTCAACTAATTGAACCAGACTTAATTCTAAAAACAAATCAAGTTATGATAATAATTCATTTGAAGTTAAATCTAGTCAAATTTAGTTAAAACCTGCCCGAACCTAGTCAAACCCAATTGACCCGGACCATTTCAACTATTTATTTTTTTTACATTTTTACATTTTTACGTTTTTCTTTAATTTTTATATTTTTATTTAATAGATAATATAATAATTAATTATAAATTTTATTTATAGTCAAATCACAATTAATGAATGAAAATTTTTAAATTAATTTAAATATAATTTGAAATTAAATTACTCTTTAAAATTAGATAGTAATTTTAATTTAGAATAAAATCAATCTAAAATAAATAACTACATACTTTATATAATGAAATGAATGAAATTAATTTAAAATTAAAATTAAACGAAATCAATTTTAAATTAAAGCTAATCTTAAGTAATTTTAAAAATAAAATTAATTATTACTTTAAATAATAAAATGAATGAAATTTTTTTAAGATTAAAATAATGTTATCTAATTGATTTTAGGAAGAAGAGCTGAAGATATGCAATATGAGCCAAAAGGATAGTTGGGAAGTGTGAAAATACCAGACAGTTTTTCTATGCTACTAAATTCAGTCTCCTTCAATTTAATTGTTAAACAATTTTTTCCTTGATTTAACTTGTGCAGAAACTTGGAGCCTACGAATGTCCAAAACTTAGACTTTTTAGGGCACATATGGCTTGGAACCTATGAATGTTCCAGAGCTTGACTTGGAACAATGAATGTTCAGAAACTTGACTTAGAACCTATTAATGTTCAAAACTTGACTTTGACTATGCAATATTACTAATAAATTAAATTTATGTAGATATTAATGTAAAATCTTTACCTTGATATTATTAATATTTGAATGAGTTTTATAAGATTTCATTTGATTTTACATCATTTTCATTTTTTATATAGAAAAAAACTTAATTAGAAGAAATCATAATTTTTAGGAGCAAATTGAAAAGATAAAAAATCTGAGTATTAAGTGGTGTGGAGTTCAGAAGTTAAGGACCAGAACTGTCATTTTACCATTAATAGAAATTGCTTAGAAGGCCAAAAACCCGACGCAGCATAACAGAAGGTGTCGGCACTTCGTTGAAGGTGTTGACCCATTACACGATTTTCAGTAATTCATGTTTAATTTATTATTTTGGGTGTGGGTCTCATTTTTATTCCAATTAGTATTTCTAAAATCTTATAAATACTCATTTAAATTCAGAATAAAAAAAGCTTAGGAGACTAATAGTAACCCTCTTTTAGCTATTCTTGGAGATTAAGATAGAGTAAACCTAGTAAAATTGGATTCAATTCGAAAATCCGACCCAACTCATCCATTATGAGTAGGGTCATGGGTTTTATGTGTTAATCCGAAATCCGAAATGATCCAAACTGAAATTATTTGGACTCACATGGGTTGGATCATGGGTGAATCAGATCACGGGCGGATTGGATCACCCGAAATTATCCAAACTTATTTTTATTTATTTTTTATTAGATTACTTAAAAATTAATTTTAAATTTCTAAGTTCTTAATCTTAAAAGTAGAAATAAATGAAATACTCAAATCCTAATCTCTCATCAATTTCATT